GGTCACCTCGCTGTGCCAGCTCACGTGATTCCTGAAAATCATCTCACTCTTTCCTCATTTCTCAGAAGCACCAACTGACTATTCTCTTCTTTAAAAAGAATTTTACTGAAACGTAACTGGATGTCAGGTTGCCGAGCGCGACATGGCTTCCGTGGGGAGCACTGGGGAGGAGCTGCGGTCACGTTAAGACACGGCGGGAGGTGCATAGGCGTCCAGTGTTCCTGGGCAACCACTTCCTCTCCCATCCACACGGTGTGAGACTTCAAGCGCCCAGCTTCGTCCACGAGGTACTGCCCATGATGTTATTTTGGGGGTGCGAGGAGGTATGGGGGTCCACTTTGCCCTCTTCCAAGACACAGGCGGAGAGCACGTGCCCCCTGCCATGTGCCGGCCCAAGGCTTTGCCCTTTTTGGTTCTTGAATGGAGCCGTCTGCCTTGTTCTTGATTTGTGAGACCTTCATATATTACCAGAGGCCCGGTGCACGAAATTCGTGCACTGGTAGGGTCCCTAGGCCTGCCGGTGATCAGGGCCGATTAAGGCCTTCCTTCTGGCTGCTGGCCAGGGCCTTCTTTCGTTCCTCACCACCCCCTGGTGGTCAGCACATGTCACAGCGAGTGATTGAACTCCCGGTCTCCTGGTCGAACTCCCGAGGGGACACCTTGCATATTAGCCTTTTATCTACACAGACGGCTGTAAGTCCTTTTCAGGTATGAGTGTGCAAACACCTCTGCTTACTCTACGGGTTGCCTCTTTACTCTCCTAAAGGTGTGTTGGCCTTTTTTTTTTTAATATATATATTTCTTTATTGATTTCGGAGAGGAAGGAAGAGGGAGAGAGAGATAGAAACATCAATGATGAGAGAGAATCATTGATAGGCTGCCTCCTGCACGCCCCCTACTGGGGATGGGAGCCCACAACCTAGGCATGTGCCGTTGGCCAGAATTGAACCTGGGACCCTTCAGTCCGCAGGCCGACGCTCTATCCACTGAGCCAAACTGGCCAGGGCGGGTGTGTTGGCTTTAACAAAGTCAAGGTCACCAGCCGTCTTCCTTGTGGCTGGGGCTTCATTGGCAGGAAAGACGCGGCGAGCACCTTCCCTCAGGCTTGGAGGGGTCTTCCCACTGCCTCTCGAGAATCAGATGTAAGTCTTACTGCTCCTCTTTAAATAACGTGACTTCTTTCTGAGGCTTTAATCGGCTTTTACGGTTTTATTTTTGCCTTTCTTGTTCAAAACTTTATGACGCTGTGACAGGACACATTTATCCTACTCGTCGTAGAGCTGAAGCGTTTGGACACTTCTGGAACATTCTCGACCGGCACCCCTTCAGCCGCTGCTCCTTTCCCACGCCCTCCCCCCCACCCTCGCTCATCTAGGCCTCGTGACACTCTTTTCCAGGTTGTCCTTCAGCTCCTACGCACGGGAGGGTTGGGCTGATACAAGTCAGCGAGTGGAACTGCCAGCAACTGCCCCGGACCAGGCCCAGCCACAGACCCAAGGTCCAATACCAACTTTATTTTAGATGTTTTTATTGATTTCAGAGAGAGGAAGGCAGAGGGAGAGAAAGAAACATCCATGATGAGAGAGAATCATGGACCGGCTGCCTCCTGCACGCCCCACACTGGGGATCAAGCCCACAACCCAGGCACGTGCCCTGGTCAGGCCTCGTACTGTGACCTCCTGTTCATAGGCCGACGAACAACCACTGAGCCACGCCGGCCGGTTGTCAAATGCCAACTTTTTAAAGGTCATTTGTCCAGGCCGACCCCTGCGACCAAGGCCCTGCCCTCAGCCCCTCCTGCTCTTCCCCGGTCCCCTCCGTCACGGCCACAGCGAGTCCCCGGCACCCACCTGCTGCCGGCCGCCCGTCTGCGCCGTGGGAAGCAGAGCTCGGGACTTCTCCGCAATTGTCTGTTGGAAGCAGTGCGGCACGGCGGGGAGACAAGGGAAGAACAGAAAAGGCAGGAGGAGAGGAGAGACGGTCAGACAGACAGGCAGCACCGGGTGATGCCTGACAGCAGAGCACGGCCGCCCCCCAGGGTCGCAGGAGAACTGGGCACGTGGCCGCCCTGCCGAGGACGAGGCCTGTGGGACAGCGCGCCCAGGCACCGGACTCCCTGGCCTAGTTCCCCACCCTCACAAGGGCGACACCTGGCTCCCACCTCCTGGGAGGCCGTCATGTGGACATCTCCCGGGCGGCACCCGAGGGCCCCATCCTTCCCTGCCCGCGGCCTGCGGTCACCCCGCAAGGATGGCCCTTCCTCTGCTGCGGGGGCGGGGCCGCACCAGCCCAACCCAGGAGAGACGGCCAGCGTGGGTGCCTGAGGGAGCGAGGCCCCCACCGGCCAGCACCAGCGCCACCAGTGCCCTCACCGTCTGCACCGCCCCGTAGCGCTGAATGGCGTCCGAGAGCTGAGTTTTCAGGCGGTCCAGCTGAAGCCGCTCCTGCTAGAGAGAGAGAAAGAGAGAGGGAGGGAGAGAGAGAGAGAGAGAGAGAGGGAGGGAGAGAGAGCCTCACCCCAGCACCTCACACCCAGCTCAGCTCCAGGCACAGCCAGTATCTCCATGGACACTCACCACCCAATCACCATGGACACCCTAACACCCAGCCTGGTTCCCAGTGCAGCTGAGCTCTTGGCATTGGCACTATGTGCCCCAGGCCTGAGCGCCGTGCACGCAGACCTGCCCCACACCGCCGGCCCTCCCTCACTCCCACCGCAGGACGCCTCCGCCCGCCTGCCGGCCCCCTCACAACCTCATACCCGGGAGCAGCCCCGCAGCAGCTCCGCCAGCCGCTTCACCACACTGGTGCTGGTGGCGATGGTGCGGTTGGTCTCCTGCTGCGCCAGGTGCCTGAAGCGGGCAGGGGTGGAGGTGGGTGCGGGACCCGCAGGGAGACATGGAGGAGCAGAAGGAGGGCAGGAGACATGGAGAGGGGAGAGGAGACATGGAGAGGGGAGAGGAGACATGGAGAGGGGAGGGGAGACATGGAGAGGGGAGGGGAGACATGGAGAGGGGAGGAGAGAGGGGAGAGGAGACATGGAGAGGGGAGAGGAGACATGGAGAGGGGAGGAGAGGAGAGGGGAGGGGAGGGGAGAGAGGGAGACCAGCAGGAAGCAAGAGGCCAAAAACGACGAGGAAACAGGAGGGATGGCCGAGGGTCAGGGGAGGGCGGAGGGCGCCAGCAGGCCCACAGGGACAGACAGATGGAACGGGGAGCAGAGAGCAGAGGAGGGACAGGAGAGGAGGACACGGTGACTGCAGGTCGGGGAGCCTCACCAGGACCCTCGGGCCCACTGAGTCAGCGCCTGCACCCCCACCCCCACCCCAACCCCAAGGGGGCCCCAGTCTCCAGCCCTCCCTGGGGAAAGGCTCCGGGGGGTCAGCACGGCCGGGAGCCTGGGGTGGGAGCCTCAGAGGAACTGGGCTGGGCTGGCCCTGCAGGTCTGAGGTGCCAGCACCAGGAGACGGGACGCCGGGCCAGGCCCCTCCCGGCCGAGCCACACAGAGTCCGAGTCTGTGGCCTGGAAGGACCAGGGAGGCCAGCCCTCGCCTGCTTGCAGCTGCCCCTGCCCCTCGGACTGAGTAACCCCCGAGGCAGAGCCAGCCTCAGGCCTCCTGCGGACACGCATGGCGAGGGCAGGGCCCTGGCCCGGCTTTGGCCCCAGCAAATACGAGGACACTCCTGACCCGCGAGCTACAGCCGGTGGCCCTGCTCCCTGCAGGACCCCACATGCAGCACACGGCTGACAAGGTGGCCGCCCCTCAGGTACGGCAGCCCCGGTCCCCAACACCCAGTCCCAGAACACGCGAGCGCGGCTCAGAGAGGAAGAGGGTGTTCGCCGTGGGGTGAGAAGGGGGTGGGGGGGGCTCTGCAACTCTTCGCAGGCTCTGGGGCCCCAGGCAAGCCCCGCCTCCTGGCCTCGGTTTCCCGTGTTAAAGGAGGGCTGGGCTGGGTCGGTGGGAAGAGCCCTCGGAGCCGGGCCGGTGGGCGAGTCTGGGCCCCAGAGGCGCCCTGAGAAGGAGCGCCAGGTCGGTGAGTCAGACCCGGGCAGGCAGGTGAACAGGGCTGGTTCCAGGCGCCCCGCCCTCCTGCCCCTCAGCAGGCCCCCAGGTCCGCGTGCAGTCCCTGCTCAGGGCGCTGCCCTCTGAGCCTGGAGACGGGAGACAGGGCCGCTGACTGCAGCTGCTGAGCGAACGGACGCCTGGCCCACGGCCTGCACCCCCAGGTGCGCTCAGCATGCGGGCCCCTGGAGCTCGGGTCTGTGGGAGACACGTGGCAGCAGGGGGTGGGGCACAAACTGTGCACGTGGGCGCACGGCTGGCCACGTGAGCACACCTGTGTGCGGGGGTGTCCGTGTGGGGTCACGTGCACCTGTGAGCGTGTGAGCCCCGCCTCGGGGGGGGGCGTGCGTGTGGCTGTGGCTGCCGTGGGCACGGGCGCACTCACAGGCTGTCCCGCAGCTCCTGGGTGTCCCTCGGTGTCCCCAGGGACCGGAGGCCCTGCTCCAAGGAGGTCGCTGCAGAGAAGGGGGCGGGGTAAGGACAGAGGTCCCCCCACCAGGGATGCCCAACTCCAGGGTGCGGGCCCCACCCCCAAAGAGGCAGCCGGAGGCCAAGGACATGGAGCCAGGCCTGGGAGACCGTCCATGTGACCGAGCACCTGCCAGGACACCAGGCTGGGCGGGGCCTCCCAGCACAAGCCCAGCTCTCTGGCTCGGTCATGCCTCTGGCAGGGGCCCCGCCCTGAGCCTGGGGAGGGGCTTCTCCCGCTCCCCGCTTTCCTCCTCTGCCTGCGGCGCTCACGGTCAGAGGCAAACACCCCTCACGCACGTGTCCCGGGTCTGCAGGCGCCTCGGGGATGTGACTCTCACCCCAACCCCTAGCCCCGGTGACCAGGGGGCCGGCCAGCGGCCAGCCTGAGGGCGGCTCTGAGGCGCTGCTTCCCTGGGACTCGTCCAGGTGGCACAGGCCTGCAGGGCGAGGGGCACCTGCCGCAGGAGCCACGGGCACGTGTGGAGCACCTGGGGGGGGGGGCCGGGGACACGGGCTGCTGACCCGCCTCTGCTCCATCCCGAGACCCTGCCTGGGCTGCAGGGCGGTCCAGTCGGGAGAGGCCATGGGCACAGCCCCCTCCCCCCCGTGTCCCCTCAGCCCCGAATGGCAGGCTGGGGCCCAGGCAGGCCGGGCGGCACTCACCGCTGGCGCTGATGCAGGAGACGCTGGCCGCCGCCTCCTGGAACAGCCCCTGCAGGTCCCTCGGGTCCAGCTGGGTGGCTGCGAGGAGACGGGGGGGGGGGGAGTT